AAGAGATGACACCAAGACATATTTTATTCGGTTTTATGGTCTATGCGGTCTTACAATTGATATTATTAGTCTTTAAATGTTATGTCTAGTACATATTTTCTCAAACAGGGCTGTTAGCTGATATAAGGAATGTAACATCCAGTTGAATTCCCAGTTGACGTACTTACTTTTTTTAATCAAATATGAGGACTGTATACGACATACGTTAGTCTCTTAACGGCGTTTCTTCAGTTCAGTTTTATTTCTCTGAAAAACCACCAACGGTGGTACAAGAGTATATATATATATATATATATATATATATATATATATATATATATATATATATATATATATATATATATATATATATACAACATATAATATACAATGCAGATCAAGATGGTAACAAGAGTTCTCTCGACCTTTGAAACCAGCCATGAAGTAGAGCAAATAGACGGGTTTATGAATACTTCTGACAGTCCGACATCATTTAGTTGTTTTTTTTCACTGTGGCTATCCACTTAAACGATTTTGCGTTTGCATCATAGTCTTTTATCAAATAATTATATAAAATGTTAGATAACTTTGTGGGTCCGTTATAATTCGTTAGTTTATGCCAGAAGGAAATCACCCGTTTAAATACTTTAATTTTGAGGGGTTCCCTGCCAAGTTCCCCGTAAACCATAAAATTGGGTGTTGAATTCCTCAGACCAGTTACTATTTTTAAAATTTCAATTGCATTTTCTCTATCATTTCTAAATTTTCAAAACCCCATATTTCGGAGCAGTAGAGAAGGATTGGCACTACCATCACGTGAAACGCCTTCAATAAACACTCTAATGGTAGGTTAACATTTCGTGCTCTTTTTATTAGGCAGGACATTGCTTTTGTCGCGTTTGCTCTTAGTGATTTCATACAAAACACAAGTTGTCTATTTCTGTGAAGATTTATACCTAAATATGTATAATTATCAACAATCTCCAGTATCTTTCCCCGAAATGAAATATTGATTTGGTTGATTTGGCTGGGCCCCCTCCAAAGATTATTATTTTTGTTTTTGAGATATTTACGTTTAGCTTCCATTGTAAGCAATATTGGTTAAACGAATCTAACGATTTTTGCAATCCAGATTGGGTATCGCTTAATATGACTGTATCGTCTGCGTAGAGTAATACTAAAATGTTTAACCATACTGTGATGTCATTTCCTGATATACAATCAAATGAGATCCCTTGGCATCCTTGTTTTGTAAGATACGATTCAAGATCATTTAAAAATATTGAAAACAGTAGTGGTGATAGATTTTCGCCCTGTCTAACACCTGATTGACAAGGGAAGTACTCTGATTCTGCATTATTTGATTGTACCATTGATTTAATATTACTGTACATATTTTTAATTAAAGTTAGGAATCGGCCCTCAATTCCATTGTTTTGCATTTTAGACCACAATCCTACTCTCCAGACAGTATCAAATGCTTTTGTAAAATCTATGCACGCACAATAAAGTGGGGTTTTTTTTACATTTTCAAAATATGCATCAACGAATGGATAACGAATATATTATCAGCAGTTTGAAATTGTTTCCTAAATCCCGATTGTGCCGGAGTTAGGATATTATTGGCATCTAGAAATTTTGTCAGTCGTTCGTTTAGGATACTGGTGAATAGTTTTCCGAAACAGCTTAATATCGTAATGGGTCTATACGAGTTTGGATCAGATGGATCGCCTTTATTTTTGAAGATAGGTTTTATAATTCCCGAGAGCCACGTTTCAGGGATTACACCGCATGAGAGTACAAGATTGAAAAATTCCGAATATAGTGGGGCAAGTACTCCAATGCTATCTATTATATGATCATTCTCGACAAAATCTAGCCCAGAAGCCTTATTTCTTTTAAGTTTCTTTGCAGCCTTTATAATTTCTTCAGTCGTTATATCATCGTTTAAGATTTTACAATCATACACCAATGTTGCAGTTGCACATCTTTCTTATTCAGAGTCATCAATTTTATTTTCATTTAAGTTTTTATAAAAAATAATAGAAGGAATTTATATCAGGAGCTTTCGGGTTTGTTTCTTTCTTACATCTTGTAAGGATCTGCCAAAAAAATCTTTAGGCGAGTGGTGAAGGTTTTGGCGAAAAGTCTTATTTAAATTGTCTTTATATTTACGTATATTCCTATCCATACAATTCCTGTAAGCCTTTGCTTCTTGGTGATATGCCAATTTATTAAATACTGTTTTCGATTTTTTAAGACGCCGTTTTGCTTTAATAAATTTCTTGCGGGATCGTCTGCTTTCTATTTCGAACCAAGGTTTATCTTTTTCGCGTTTTCTGTATTTAACACTGTTTTCTACAATTAATATTTTGAATAAGCCGTTGTTATGCCAGTTGTGACAGGGATGATGGTATGGTAGCTGTAGCAGACAGATTGACAGTCGTTGTTACGTGCGCCACTAGGTAATTAGTACGGCATTGACCTTGTTGATTGTTACTATACTTTGAGGATTTCTGTGGCCCGTGGCGGACGTAATTCAAACTCCTTCCACACTGACACCGCATCAAATATATTTGTGTGCCGATTACATAACTCTTACTGACAGGGTGGGGTGGTAGTTCACCGGACGACACTGTGTATATTGGGCGGCTCCTTTGATATCTCCTCCAAACATACTTTTATTGAATGACCCCATTAAACGATGATACACATCTCGTTGAATATATCAAGGCACTAATTCATCTTTCATAAACTTTTTTTTGTCTTTGTGCTTAATATATCCACAATTCAACGAAAATATGTAAAACATGTATCCACAAAAACATATATACATTTTCAGGCTAGGTATTTGCTCACAGCAACACCCGCATAACTGTTTATTCACGCGTGGTGTGGTAGATCGTAATTGACCGAGAACAGGTATCGTAAATAAGGCCGACACTGTAATTAGATACAACGTACTAATGAGAATCTTAAGAACCTGTCGAGATTTATTCATGAAATATTTAAAGCAGTAAGAAAACACATGACAGAAAAGATATAACATATCCATGCATGACATATTGTCATCTTGTCACATATTAATACTTTGTTTACATGCTTGCTCTTTTGTACTCTTTTGTAACACCGCCGGTGGTTTGGAGAAAATAAACTGTTCAAACTGTTCATAAGAAGGCTGTTGTTTTTTCTGAACTGTTACTATTTTCATACCAAAAGTAACAGTGCATTTAAAAGTTGCTTTAGTGTTATACTATTCACTCAAGTTTTCTTCAATCGCCTGTAAACATAATTCCCATTGGTCAGTTCGACACCGCATATAATTAAATAATTATTTCGAGATTTCGTTAGAATGTGAGATATTCAGCCAGACGTTATGCAATAAAAGACGAATCGGTTTTTGTTTCTATTAAAATACGCGCACGTGTACCTGTATATTGCATACCTAGTGTCACTTATTTTCCCAGTGTGATGTATCAACGACACATAAAATGGGAAATGAAAAAGAAACTAACTAAACTTTAATGTGTTGGAAAATATCGCCAATGAATTAGTGTACACGCGCATGGATTCGTATGATAAACTGTCAAAACGTTTTGAGAGGTAAGGCCGGGTTCATTTAAAGATCGTTGCAATATGTGAAAAAGGTGAAATTTGTAAAACTTCTGCAAAGGAAACATCCAACCAAAGGCCCTTTTTAAATAGTAATGTAATGATATAATATAAAGTATATTTCACATGATACAATATTCTTTGTACACAATGAGTTAATTATTTAAAGTTACTGACGAAAACATGGGCGAAATATTTTAATAACGCCATAAATTAGTTGAATTAAGGTAAAATGAGTGGAATCATGTGTCATGCTTATAACACCTTTATGTATTTGCGAAACTAAAACTGTTGAGCAAAGGAAAATATTCTCGCCCGTGGGCCAAACCTTTTTCTCGCCCATGGGCGAAATATTTCAATATCGCTATAAAATCGTTGAATTAGTTAAAATGAGTTAAGTTTTGTGCCATGATACTTGAAAGATATACATATATGTATTTGCGAAACAAAAACAAGAGTTTTGAGTAAAGGAAGATATTCTCGCCCATGGGCCAAACCTTTTTCTCGCCCATGGGCGAAATATTTCAATATCGCTATAAAATCGTTGAATTAAGTTAAAATGAGTTACATTTTGTGTCATGATACTTGAATGAATACATTTAATGTATTTGCGAAACAAAAACATGACTTTTGAGTAAATGAACATATTCTCGCCCATGGGCCTACCCATGGGCCAGTCTTCGCCCATGGGCAGGCCCATGGGACACACTTCGCCCATGGGCAGGCCCATGGGCTACATAGCGTAAATATTGAGTTTTTGAACAATTGTTTTTTCATTTTTTCTTCCTTGGTATGTTCCCATGAAAACAGCATGTTTAATTTTGTAAATACCTTTGACCGAGACTGGGCAAAGACCGTAGAGTTTCTGGACTATTGGGTTTCCAGAATTAAAATGGGACGTGTTAGTCTGTTACTATAGTTTTAGCAAGCAGACTTATTTGAATAATAACCGGATGCATCACACAGAGGGCCATCAGTTATATCGAGGAATACATTTGAAGGAACACAATGAGTATTATGTTGGTTCCTCACACTCCGATCATGCAGTTAATTCATTTTCCATTAATATTGGACGAGATATGCTTGGGTATTACGTTTTAAGCACGCAATAATACGATACATGCACTATTATTCATGTGTTTCACAATTGTATATTAAACAAATGTTTCAACAATAGTTTGCTATCTTCATGAAGTAAACTATCGTTTTTTACCATTTCAAAATTATCTATCTTGATGTTTAAATACACTATCTTTTTTGTTGCACCCCATTGTGACCCTGTTAAATTGTCTTCGCGAAATGTACATACACTGGGAAACTACATGCCTCTGGACAACAGGAAATAACACTATTTTGCAATGCTTCTTTAACCGTAACATAAAATAGTAAACATGAGTAACAGTACTCACAGAATAAGACGATGGGTTTAGTTTCCAGATGATTATTTGTAAACGCAAGCACACCCAGAACAACACATACAATTCCAGGAAGTATATATCGTTTCCCAAGCCTCTTTCGCCGGACAGCCATGATTACTGAAAAGAAATCAGATCATTCATGTGCAGTCCTTACAATTCACGCTATTGAGATATTAGTTTCACACTGACAAAGTGAAGCTTTGTTGAATTATTCTGCGTTATAGTAAATTTATGTTATATTAGTAGAATGTAGAAATTAATATAAACGATGGGTTTATCATGTGCTCACCTCTATACTTCAAGCACAGACAACTAAAATATGTCTTCTGATATCCTACCGTAGTGTTTAGCATTGGGTGTCTCAAAGATGTTTTGTGAAATGCAAATTAACTCTTAACGAGTTAAGTCAGAACGTTTCAGAACGTTTTTGGAGTTCTTGATGTAGTACATAACAGCTTGAATAGTGATGAGCTATATATTCTTATGAAACTCATTTTAAATCCATAAAGGAATTTAAAACACCTCATTTAAAATAACTGCTTATCGTTTATAGGATTTTAAAGGGTTAATGGGTGAAATCAAAGGTTGATTGAATGACGATTACCATCAGGTCTATATGTCTTGCCACGTGTACTTGAATTTGTTGATTGGTAGTTATTAGTTACGTCTGCAGATAATACACGTCTTGATGACAAGTATTATTGCCTTTAGCGTTCATAAAACTAGAACTGATAAGGTATTTATGTACTCACTTACAGACTGGGGGATCAACTGCTGACACGGCCTGTGATTAGGGCTTCCCTGTTCCATATCGGTGTCATCCCCGTACCCTGGGCATGCAGATGAAGCGGAGATAAGTTCTGGACTTGGTATCACTTTAACACGGCAATAAGGGTTGCCCATGTATGTTCAACATTGAATATGTTTACCGCATGCGTAGCTGAAGGGTTGTCCATGTATGTTCAACATTGAATATGTTTACCGCACGCATAGCCGAAGGGTTGTCCATGTATGTTCAACATTGAATATGTTTACCGCATGCGTAGCTGAAGGGTTGTCCATGTATGTTCAACATTGAATATGTTTACCGCATGCGTAGCTGAAGGGTTGTCCATGTATGTTCAACATTGAATATGTTTACCGCACGCGTAGCTGAAGGGTTGCCCATGTATGTTCAACATTGAATATGTTTACCGCATGCGTAGCTGAAGGGTTGCCCATGTATGTTCAACATTGAATATGTTTACCGCACGCATAGCCGAAGGGTTGTCCATGTATGTTCAACATTGAATATGTTTACCGCACGCGTAGCTGAAGGGTTGTCCATGTATGTTCAACATTGAATATGTTTACCGCACGCATAGCCGAAGGGTTGTCCATGTATGTTCAACATTGAATATGTTTACCGCATGCGTAGCTGAAGGGTTGTCCATGTATGTTCAACATTGAATATGTTTACCGCACGCGTAGCTGAAGGGTTGTCCATGTATGTTCAACATTGAATATGTTTACCGCACGCGTAGCTGAAGGGTTGCCCATGTATGTTCAACATTGAATATGTTTACCGCACGCGTAGCTGAAGGGTTGCCCATGTATGTTCAACATTGAATATGTTTACCGCATGCGTAGCTGAAGGGTTGCCCATGTATGTTCAACATTGAATATGTTTACCGCACGCGTAGCTGAAGGGTTGCCCATGTATGTTCAACATTGAATATGTTTACCGCACGCGTAGCTGAAGGGTTGCCCATGTATGTTCAACATTGAATATGTTTACCGCACGCGTAGCTGAAGGGTTGCCCATGTATGTTCAACATTGAATATGTTTACCGCATGCGTAGCTGAAGGGTTGCCCATGTATGTTCAACATTGAATATGTTTACCGCATGCGTAGCTGAAGGGTTGCCCATGTATGTTCAACATTGAATATGTTTACCGCACGCGTAGCTGAAGGGTTGTCCATGTATGTTCAACATTGAATATGTTTACCGCACGCGTAGCTGAAGGGTTGCCCATGTATGTTCAACATTGAATATGTTTACCGCATGCGTAGCTGAAGGGTTGCCCATGTATGTTCAACATTGAATATGTTTACCGCATGCGTAGCTGAAGGGTTGTCCATGTATGTTCAACATTGAATATGTTTACCGCATGCGTAGCTGAAGGGTTGTCCATGTATGTTCAACATTGATTCTGTATAGCTTGTGCATTCACAAACACACAGAGAGTGAGAGAGAGAAAGAAAGAAAGAGAGAGAGAAAGATGGAGAGAGAGCGATTATTATGCTACTGATCATGTACTCTAGTTAATCTCACCTATTTATATCTCTCCCTCCAACTCTCTCTCTCTCTTTCTCTTTCTCTCTCCCCCTCTCTCTCTCTCTCTCTCTCTCTCTCTCCCAATAAATAACAAAACATCCGTGATGGTATGTTATCTTTTCTTCAGAGAAAATGGCAAAGATTATACATGTAGCTACTCCTGATTCACAATTATATCAAAGAACGAAAAGTCTGACTGAGGCGCTTGTTTGAAATAGATTAGCCCCGGTCGATCATTGTAGTCGAACAGATAGAAATTAATGACATAAAGTGCCCTTAGTTCATTTAACTCGGAAAGACTAAGGACGTGGTACGCTTGTGAGATAGCCTCAAATCTATTGGACCTTGACATTGGAATTGAGCTATTATAGGCCCCTAAACTGGCGTCCAGTAACTCGTAATACTCCAAGGAAAGACTTTCCTCTTTGGTGTACGGGAATTTTATGTTGTTACTGATGTAGCCCCAAATCTGGAGCTGACGCCACAATCTTAAATACATGGAGTAGGTGCTTATGCAGGTGATGTTATTCTTCCGAGTAAAGGCTGTTTCAACGAAACCTTCAATTATGCTGAAGTCGTATTCACGCTGGAAATCCTCGAAAGCGGAAACCTTGTCGGGGGATTTTAATTTGTTGTATACATACAGGGTATCCTGTTCGAAAGTATCCTCTTTTCCGATGACGTCAAAATCTATTCCACAAACATCACAATGGTTTACTGTACCTGCAAAGGAACCATTTTCTTTCGAAGACATTACGAATTGTGTGAAATCTACAAAGGAAACATTATGGCCACACTCAATATTACCTTTTGACGGAGAATCTTTGTGATTCAATGTAATCTGTTTGCCAAGTTGTAATGATTCATTACTTGGCACTACAATATTATTCACATAATATTCAAACAACTGCCAATAAGGATCACGAGTGTATAAGACTTTCAGTGATGAGTTGAACATGTCCACAAATGTTTCTGCTTGTTCTCCTGTTACTGTATTCCTATACTCGGAGCCGTTAAACCGCCCCCAGTCCAGGAGAAGACTTGTTGAATCAGTTTGACTTCGCATCCAGATTTCAAACGTCTTTCTCCATATAACTGTTTCGTGATTCTCGAGGGGACAATAGAGTATGTTCAGTGATTTGAAGTGCCAAAGCTGCTCCGTCCATTTCTCTCTCGTAAGGCGTCTTAGGTCAACAGCATGACATACATATTTAATGTGTTCTCGTCTTCTCCAGTATTCTTTATCTAAATCCGCCTGTAACATATGTTTTTGATATAAGTAAAATCAAAGCACAAATGTCATATAAATTCATTGATAACTGAATGTCATAACAATTATGAGGATATGGGCCATAATTAATTAGGAGATAAACATACTGTGTTTTCAATGTAGAGCTAGGTTACCTGTAGATTTAACCCCGCTAAATCTAATTTGGAACCGAACGCGCAGCGTGAGGTTTCAAATGTTGAATTTAGCGCTCCATTCTATCATGACTAAATAAAACGCGAACTCTTTGGTGTTAGCAAATATATTGAGTGAAGCGGCATGGGTTGAGTTCAGTGTTTTGAGTGGGTTAATGATCTGAATTACGGAATCACCGAACAAAATATGATGCTGTATATACTCAAGCAGTTTGTTTACACCGTAATACTTCACTCGAACATATGACAGGCATTGACAGCATATAAGCACGGCAACTTGGTAAGCTAACATGAGGTGGGCATCCCTAAAGAAAACAAAGCAAGTTTTGCAAGGCTTTCGCTCTACATCGCACGTCACCATTATGACGTCATATCGCTCATTGTGACGCCAAAAATATGACGTCACAGTCGTATATAGAAAAGCGCCAAAATTTCAAGCTCTCTGTTGTCTCCCAAACGTAAATACATTCCCTTTGTTGATGTCTGTCGTGTTTTTCTGCACGAAATGTATTGCCACACATCTTTTGAATATTGTAGTAACTGCATCTGTGCATTTTGTAACCTGTAATTGTAGATATAGTTATTTAAATATGCCTACCGACAATGACTGAAAATAGTTATTCTATGAATATTAGCTTCCACGGTGATGCGGCCGTCAAACCAGCTGTTTCAATCAGAGGGGGTTTATTGTGATTTAATAGCCTCTGATTGACCAATCAGAATCGAGTAAATTCCAAATTCATGGTAGAATGTGCTTTGACAAAAACTGGACGATAGAAGAGAAATGGATCACCGGTACATTTGCCTTGGGTATTGTACATGAAAGCAGGGGCGTTTGTGTTAAACAACTCCCTGATGTAGACTACTAATATTCGAAAGATGGAGATACAGACGAACGGAAAATAAAATGAATTTCGAAAGTAAGCAGTATTGTCAGAATTGTACGATGAACACTGCTTTAAGGAGAGATTTCTTAAAACTAGGGTAAGGATGTTGTCGCTTTTTAATTATATGTATTGCATTTCGCGTAGTTGGTTTTCCGCTGGTATTATATTACACTGGCTATGAAGTTTTCGAAATACATTCAAAATTCCACTTCACAAACCTAAACGTACATATCACTATTGAATGCTTCCATATGTTATAGCGAGTGCAGGATTTTTGTATAAATTTAGTACCTGATATGGTATGCTCTGAACTGATTCCACCAATAACAGATCATCGGATGGCAGTGGTGGAGTTCCTAAAGTCGTAGCGCCGCTTCCCAGTAACTGTTTACCGCCCATGTGGTTAACCGTGTTGTAACGGTGTTGTTCTTTAACAAAACATTCAACACATCAGCAAATCTGATACATTCTAAGGGATGTATTTGTAAAGAATAACTACAGATGTACTGTAGGCTTGGTCACCATATAAAATTTCTTATTGGACGAAACTGACTGATACTAAAGCTTGGCATTTGGCAAGGATTGTGAAGTAACATTTTGCATTTATGTTGTGACCTCACATGTCGATACATGTAGATATGTTTTTTTTAACCTATTTCATTCTTAAGAGCTCCAAGGTTTCAAGATGTACAGCCGACACGTGTTGAATGGAGATAAAACAATACGCTGAGTGTTTAGGTACATCTACTTGTGTATGTTATGGTTGAAGTTACAGATCTAAATGTAATTTAAAAGCCTCTCATTTTCTCCAGCAAACACAACCGTTGAAGAGATGAACGGTCGTGATAATATGACACGGAATCTGTTCTTCATTTTGAATCAGGCAGACTTATTCATTCGTAATTAAACCATTCTTCAAAGGATATATGTTTATGTGTATAAAGAAGACTTACGATGTATCATGTAATTCGTCACCAGAAGCGTAGCCACGCCCATCAGGAGGAGGACGACTGACCTCGGACAATGACACACAGACGCAATGCACCTTCTGCTGCTTCTCACCATAGCTATATGTAATGTATGAAGCGCAACATAATTTGTTCAAGACATTTCTCAAAATGAACATACATTGATATCGAGAGTATTCAAATAGTTCCAATATCTAAACAATTGTTTCATAAATCTATATATTATTGTAAAATTAAAAAGCTCCAATCGGTACTCCTTCATACTGATCAGTTAAAACAGAAATAATCAGATTCAGATTATTTGCCAAGCTATCAGTATGATCATGACATAGTTAGAATCTGTACTCCAACATTAGGATGATGAATTAGAACTGGATTTAAATGTCTCAAGAATTCGCGCGATCGTCTCAGCTTTGAAATGTGTGCACTGTTTCAAAGATTCATATACATGTATACTCTATATCAACTGAGCATAAAACACACCCAGGACACACGATAACAATTCTAATTTGTGTTTAAAAGGAATCCTAAGCATGCGATAAGCTTCCTTCTTAGAAGGAGTACGTAATGAGCAGCGAAGAGAAACACAAGTATAAGCGTAATAAAACAACCGGTGAAAGCATACAGCATTATGATCAAAGTAAAACTAGAACTAAAACTCGGCTTTTATAGCAGGGAACAATTTACTGAAAAAGACAAGTACATATACTCCAACACCCACTGAAAAATCCTGTGTGTATTTATTTCTATACCACTGAAGGTATTACGACATGTACGCACCATTGAATCCGTGTCAGTGTGTAAATAATTTAAATAAAGTTCACCTCCCACTATGAATGAACAGGTACGTTCTTATTTCAATCGGACTTATGTTACCACAAATACGTTAAATTACTACAAGATATCATTTATATAAGATACCTTAGAACGTACCTTCTACGCTCTCTTGTCACACTGCAAGTGTTTCGAGACAAATCTTTTGATGGTAACACATCTCCAGATGTGAAGTTAATACCAGAGAGTGGTCGATCATTTCACTGTCAATATGCTGTATGTTATTGTTCTAAACAATGCATATATCCTGATGCAAGGCTTACATTGTATCCATCAATAAATATACTGGACGCCATGGGAGGGCACATGTGGTTGGACAACAAATCAATACCAGATAGACGTTTTGTCTTTTTGATCTGTATAAAGTATATGGTTTGGGTACACGTCACCTAAACAAATTTTCTTTGTTACTATAATATATGACTGTCATAGCATTGACGAGTGTGAATATGTATTAGAAAAAAGAAACTGTGCACATTCTTATCGCATTATGGTAAATCCCAAATCCCTCTATTATTAATCTATTATCACTGTATTGATGTTTGCAGAGCCCCACTGACGTCTTTAATATTTCAATGGTTATGTTCCACATTCTGTTTCCAGTCCCCCTTTAACAGAAACAATATGTAAATGTGCGGACTCCTACAAATAACAACGCCTAGACATATTCTGGACAGAGGCACTGCCCCCTTTAACACAAACAATATGCTGAATAAATTGATGATGAATATACGGAATGCCACATACAACAACGTCTAGACGGATACTGGAAATATACTCCACAAACAATATGCAGATGATGAATATACGGAATCCCACAATATATTAACTTATGGCTAGGAAATTTAGAACTGCACATAGTTACCTTTTGTCCGCTTAGCTGGTATAATCATCAGTTGTTAAGTCTGAAGCCGGCGGTAACTAACGCTCTTGGCACAGCTGTTTCAGAAGCACCAGACTTCATGGTCAGTTTGCTTTGACTGGGTGATATTGTTCAAACAAGTCGAAAGTATTGTCATTGATTATTTTTATAGTGTTCATCGTGCTAAATAAATAACAATCTTATAATCAAAAGGACTGACTCATTATACGGTTAACCCAGATATAATATACCGAACCTTAAGAGTCCCCCAGGAAGATCCACGATCATTGCGGTATAACAAACTGTTCGCAATATCCCACTTTTATCTATTCGAAGTGATATCTGAATACAACTTCCAATTGGTATATACAATGTACTTAATATACAACGCTCAATAATAAAGAATGCTTCCAAATTAAAAGGAAGTTAATGACTCTAGGAAAGTAACCATGATGTAAATATGATATCTTTCAATAGTGAGTTGAGTGTTTTATTGGAGAAAGGTTAAGCAAGAAATACAATTTCCAAACCATACAAAACATTATCAGTAAGGGCATGGATGATAATACATAGTAGGAATACAACCATGTAACAGCAGTACGTTCATGGAACACGGAAGTTCAGGGAACAATTGTTGTCATTAAACTATCACCATATCTTTAACTATCCCTGATGCGCAACAATGTCCAGGTATGAAAAGTCGGAACGTGGACCTTGTTTGAAATAAACAAGTGCAGGTCGGTCAGGATAGCCGAACAGATGAAAATCGAGTTCAAACGGTTTCCTCACAGAACCCAAATCACCTAGTGTAAGGTCAAAGTAGGCCTGACCTATCGCCTCAAATCTATTGGACCTTGACATTGGAACCGAGTTGTGATATGCCATCAAAGTGGCGTCCAGTAACTTAGTGTACGCCAGGGTAAGACTTTCTTCTTTGGTGTACGGGAATGTTATGTTGTTACTGATGTAGCCCCAAATCTGGAGCTGACGCCACAATCTTAAATACATGGAGTAGGTGCTTATGCAGGTGATGTTATTCTTCCGAGTAAAGGCTGTTTCAACGAAACCTTCAATTATGCTGAAGTCGTATTCACGCTGGAAATCCTCGAAAGCGGAAACCTTGTCGGGGGATTTTAATTTGTTGTATACATACAGGGTATCCTGTTCGAAAGTATCCTCTTTTCCGATGACGTCAAAATCTATTCCACAAACATCACAATGGTTTGCTGTTCCAGCAAAGGAAGAATATTGATTAGTTGAGCGGAGGTAGTTTGTAAATTCCTTAAATGTAACACTATGGCCACATTTCAGATCCTCTTTGGTCCGAGAATCTTTGTGATTCAATGTAATCTGTTTGCCAAGTTGTAATGATTCATTACTTGGCACTACAAAATTGTTCACATAATACTCAATAGCTGCCAGTGAGGATCACGTGTGTATATAACTTTCAGTGAAGAGTTATACAATGTTATAAATGCTTCTGTTTGTAGTTCAGTCTCCTTGAGTGTTGGAAACTTGTATTTAGAGCGGCTAAACTGCCTCCAATCTAGGTCAAAACTTGACCTCGTACTAGTTTGACTTCGCATCCAGATTTCAAACGTCTTTCTCCATATAACTGTATCGTGATTCTCGAGAGGACAATAGAGTATGTTCAGTGATTTGTAGTGCCAAAGCTGATCCGTCCGTTTCTCTCTCGTTTGGCTCCCTACATGTTCAACATTACATATATATTTGAGATGTTCACGTCTCTTCCGATAGATAAGGTCGATGTTCTGAAATTTAATGAAGATTCAGTTAGACATTATTTAGATAAACAATCCCGAGATTATGTTTTGAATGTTTCGAATGCCAATGTAAGAGGCTTACCCTATTTGATTCAGCGAAAAATGGAACTTGCAATTCCTTCAAGTCGGATGGGAGTGGAGCAATGTTTGGATGACTTGATTCCTTTGCAAATCGTGCAACTGGCTTTCCTTTTTCGTCATCTGATTAAAAAACACAGTTAAATGTCACTATATAGTCATACAAGATACAAATGTTACTAATGCATATGGAATAGTGCATCACAGTGAGTTGGGCCTGGCACAACTTTGTATTTGAGTGATATCAGGCATGTAAACTCATTGTTGTATGAACGCCTAAAGTATTGCAGGGAGTAGACTCATGTCGATAAACATGGCTTCACACATTGTATACTCACGGTGTACCGTCTTCGTGAAGGAATACATTAGCAATCCCACCATTGCCCCTAGTACAGCTAGCAGGAGGACTGAGGTAACCGGGCGAAAGCGGAATACAGACCATAATTGTCTCCGGTATGCCAACATTGTGGGAGAATTGATCGTTTGAACCTGAAGCAAAATGATCTTCAATCAGAGGAATATTATAAATATATTGATACATGCTTCGTTTATCAGCAGAATGGACTGGTTACACGGAACAAACTTTCAAAACAGATGATCACCGAACCAGACTGACACACCTTAACTACAGGGGAACTTTATGAATATACTGAAACATACTGATACATCTTCATTACAGTAGAACATAATGAATATATTGAAACATACTGACACACCTTCACTACAGTAGAACATAATGAATATATTGAAACATACTGACACACCTTCACTACAGGAGAACATAATGAATATATTGAAACATACTGATACACCTTCACTACAGGAGAACACAATGAATATACTGAAACATACTGACACACCTTCACTACAGTAGAACATAATGAATATATTGAAACATGCTGATACACCTTCACTACAGGAGAACATAATGAATATACTGAAACATACTGACACACCTTCACTACAGGAGAACATAATGAATATACTGAAACATACTGACACACCTTCAGTACAGGAGAACATAATGAATATATTGAAACATACTGACACACCTTCACTACAGTAGAACATAATGAATATACTGAAACATACTGACACACCTTCACTACAGTAGAACATAATGAATATATTGAAACATGCTGATACACCTTCACTACAGGAGAACATAATGAATATACTGAAACATACTGATACTACTTCTCTACAGGAGAACATAATGAATATATTGAAACATACTGATACACCTTCACTAGAGGAGAACATAATGAATATACTGAAACATACTGATACACCTTAACTACAGGAAAACATAATGAATATATTGAAACATACTGACACACCTTCACTACAGAGAACACATTGAATATATAGAAACATACTGATACACCTTCACTACAGGAGAACACAATGAATATACTGCAACATACTGATACTACTTCACTACAGGAGAACATAATGAATATACTGAAACATACTGACACACCTTCATTATAGGGGAACATAATGCATATACTGAAACATACTGACACACCTTCACTAGAGGAGAACAAAATGAATATACTGAAACATACTGACACACCTTCACGACAGGAGAACATAATGGACATACTGAAACATACTGATACACCTTCACTACAGTAGAACATAATGAACATATTGAAACATACTGATACACCTTCACTACAGGAGAACACAATGAATATACTGAAACATACTGACACACCTTCACTACAGTAGAACATAATGAATATACTGAAACATACTGATACACCTTCACTACAGGAGAACATAATGAATATACTGAAACATACTGACACACCTTCACTACAGTAGAACATAATGAATATATTGAAACATACTGATACACCTTAACTACAGGAGAACACAATGAATATACTGAAACATACTGATACTACTTCACTACAGTAGAACATAATGAATATATTGAAACATACTGACACACCTTCACTACAGTAGAACATAATGAATATACTGAAACATACTGACACACCTTCACTACAGTAGAACATAATGAATATATTGAAACATGCTGATACACCTTCACTACAGGAGAACATAATGAATATACTGAAACATACTGATACTACTTCTCTACAGGAGAACATAATGAATATATTGAAACATACTAATACACCTTCACTAGAGGAGAACATAATGAATATACTGAAACATACTGATACACCTTAACTACAGGAAAACATAATGAATATATTGAAACATACTGACACACCTTCACTACAGAGAACACATTGAATATATAGAAACATACTGATACACCTTCACTACAGGAGAACACAATGAATATACTGCAACATACTGATACTACTTCACTACAGGAGAACATAATGAATATACTGAAACATACTGACACACCTTCATTATAGGGGAACATAATGCATATACTGAAACATACTGACACACCTTCACTACAGGAGAACAAAATGAATAAATTGAAACATACTGACACACCTTCACTACAGGAAAACATAATGAATATACTGAAACATACCGATACACCTTCACTACAGTAAAACATAATGAATATATTGAAACATACTGATACACCTTCACTACAGTAGAACACAATGAATATACTGAAACATACTGACACACCTTCACTACAGTAGAACATAATGAATATACTGAAACATACTGACACACCTTCACTACAGGAGAACATAATGAATATACTGAAACATACTGACACACCTTCACTACAGTAGAACATAATGAATATATTGAAACATACTGATACACCTTAACTACAGGAGAACACAATGAATATACTGAAACATACTGATACTACTTCACTACAGGAGAACATAATGAATATACTGAAACATACTGACACAACTTCATTATAGGGGAACATAATGAATATACTGAAACATACTGACACACCTTCACTACAGAGAACACAATGAATATATTGAAACATACTGATACACCTTCACTACAGTAGAACATAATGAATATATTGAACATACTGACACACCTTCACTACAGGAGAACATAATGAATAAATTGAAACATACTGACACACCTTCACTACAGTAGAACATAATGAATATACTGAAACATACTGATACACCTTCACTACAGGAGAACATAATGAATATACTGAAACATACTGACACACCTTCATTACAGGAGAACTTTATGAATATACATGAAACATACTGACACACCTTCACTACAGAGAACACAATGGATATTTTGAAACATACTGACACACCTTCACTACAGGAGAACATAATGAATAAATTGAAACATACTGACACACCTTCACTACAGTAGAACATAATGAATATACTGAAACATACTGATACACCTTCACTACAGGAGAACATAATGAATATACTGAAACATACTGACACACCTTCATCACAGGAGAACTTTATGAATATACATGAAACATACTGACACACCTTCACTACAGAGAACACAATGAATATTTTGAAACATACTGACACACCTTCATTACAGGAGAACTTTATGAATATACATGAAACATACTGACACACCTTTACTACAGTAGAGCATTATGAATATACACGAAACAAACTGACACACCTTCACTACAGTAGAACTTTATGAATATACTGAAACATACTGACACACCTTCATTACAGGAGAACTTTATGAATATACTGAAACATACTGACACACCTTCATTACAGGAGAACTGTATGAATATACATGAAACATACTGACACACCATCATTACAGGGGAACATAGTGAATATACATGAAACAGATCTATACCCCATTCACTGCAGTAGAACATAATGAATATACGTGAAACCGACCTATACCTCTTCACTACAGAAGACCTTTATGAATTTACTGACACAAACTGACACACTATCGCTACAGGGGAACATTATGAATATACATGAAACCGAGCTACACACCTTCGCTACAGGGGACCATCATAAATATACACGAAACCGACCTAAACACCTTTACTTCAGGGCATTATTATGAATATACATGAAACCGAGCTACACACCTTCACTGCAGGGCAACATTATGACTATACACGAAACAGACTGACACACCTTTACTGCAGGGGACCATTATGATTATACATGAAACCGAGCTACACACCTTCACTGCAGGGCAACATTATGACTATACACGAAACAGACTGACACACCTTTACTGCAGGGGACCATTATGATTATACATGAAACCGAGCTACACACCTTCACTGTAGGGGAACATTATGAATATACATGAAATCAAGCTACACACCTTCACTGCTACACACCTTCACTACAGTAGAACATTATAAATATACATGAAACATACTGACACATCATCACTACACTAGAACATTATGAATATACATGAAACAAACTGACACAGCTTCACTACAGTAGAACATTATGAATATACATGAAACCGAGCTACACACCTTCGCTACAGGGGAACATTATGAATATACATGAAACATACTGACACACCATCACTACACTAGAACATTATGAATATACATGAAACATACTGACACACCATCACTGCAGTAGAACATTATGAATATACATGAAAGCGACCTACACACCTTCACTGCAGGGCAACAGTATGAATATACATGAAACCGACCTACACACCTTCACTGCAGGGGAACATTATGAATATACATGAAACCGATCTACACACCTTCACTGCAGGGGAACATTATGAATATACATGAAAACGGGCTACACACCTTCACTGCAGGGGAACATTATGAATATACATGAAACCGAGCTACACACCTTCACTGCAGGGGAACATTATGAATATACATGAAACCGAGCTACACACCTTCACTGCAGGGGAACATTATGAATATACATGAAACCGAGCTACACACCTTCACTGCAGGGGAACATTATGAATATACATGAAACCGAGCTACACACCTTCACTGCAGGGGAACATTATGAATATACATGAAACCGAGCTACACACCTTCACTGTAGGGGAACATTATCAATATAGATGAAACCGAGCTACACACCTTCACTGCAGGGCAACATTATGAATAAACATGAAACCGATCTACACACCTTCACTGCAGGGGAATATTATGAATATACACGAAACCGAGCTACACACCTTCGCTGCAGGGGAACATTATGAATATACACGAAACAGACTGACACACCTTCACTGCAGCGGAACAATATGAATATACATGAAAGCGACCTACACACCTTCACTGCAGGGCAACAGTATGAATATACATGAAACCGAGCTACACACCTTCACTGCAGGGGAACATTATGAATATACATGAAACCGATCTACACACCTTCACTGCAGGGGAACATTATGAATATACATGAAACCGGGCTACACACCTTCACTGCAGGGGAACATTATGAATATACATGAAACCGGGATACACACCTTCACTGCAGGGGAACATTATGAATATACATGAAACCGAGCTACACACCTTCACTGCAGGGGAACATTATGAATATACATGAAACCGGGCTACACACCTTCACTGCAGGGGAACATTATGAATATACATGAAATATTATAAATATATTGATACATGCTTCGTTTATCAGCAGAATGGACTGGTTAAACGGAACAAACTTTCAAAACAGATGATCACCGAACCAGACTGACACACCTTAACTACAGGGGAACTTTATGAATATACTGAAACATACTGATACATCTTCATTACAGTAGAACATAATGAATATATTGAAACATACTGACACACCTTCACTGCAGGGGAATATTATGAATATACATGAAACCGAGCTACATACCTTCGCTACAGGGGAACCTTATGAATATACATGAAACCGAGCTACACACCTTCACTGTAGGGCAACATTATGAATATACATGAAACCGACCGACACACCTTTAGTGCAGTGCAACATTATGAATATACACGAAACCGAGCTACACGCCTTCACTGTAGGGGAACATTATGAATATACATGAAACCGAGCTACACACCTTCACTGCAGGGCAACAGTATGAATAAACATGAAACCGATCTTCACACCTTCACTGCAGAGGAATATTATGAATATACATGAAACCGAGCTACACACCTTCGCTGCAGGGGAACATTATGAATATACACGAAACAGACTGACACACCTTCACTGCAGCGGAACATTATGAATATACATGAAAGCGAGCTACACACCTTCGCTGCAGGGGAACATTATGAATATACATGAAACCGAGCTACACACCTTCACTGCAGGGGAACATTATGAATATACATGAAACCAATCTACACACCTTCACTGCAGGGGAACATTATGAATATACATGAAACCGGGCTACACATCTTCACCGTAGGGCAACATTATGAATATACATGAAACCGAGCTACACACCTTCACTCTAGGGGAACATTATGAATATAGATGAAACCGAGCTACACACCTTCACTGCAGGGCAACATTATGAATAAACATGAAACCGATCTACACACCTTCACTGCAGGGGAATATTATGAATATACACGAAACCGAGCTACACACCTTCACTGCAGGGGAACATTATGAATATACATGAAACCGAGCTACACACCTTCACTGCAGGGGAACATTATGAATATACATGAAACCGGGCTACACACCTTCACTGCAGGGGAACATTATGAATATACAAGAAATGGGCTTAACACATTGAACCGATGTCGGGAATCGAACGCGAGTGTTCGGCGTGTCGAACGAACGCTTTAACCACTGGGCTACCCGACCGACCCAAAACTTTAAAGTTGAAGAAAATGCTGAAATTGTCAAGAGCGATCAGACAAGGGACACACGGCGATTTGACAGGGGAACTTTATGAATATACTGAAACATACTGATACATCTTCATTACAGTAGAACATAATGAATATATTGAAACATACTGACACACCTTCACTGCAGGGGAATATTATGAATATACATGAAACCGAGCTACATACCTTCGCTACAGGGGAACCTTATGAATATACATGAAACCGAGCTACACACCTTCACTGTAGGGCAACATTATGAATATACATGAAACCGACCTACACACCTTTAGTGCAGTGCAACATTATGAATATACACGAAACCGAGCTACACGCCTTCACTGTAGGGGAACATTATGAATATACATGAAACCGAGCTACACACCTTCACTGCAGGGCAACAGTATGAATAAACATGAAACCGATCTTCACACCTTCACTGCAGAGGAATATTATGAATATACATGAAACCGAGCTACACACCTTCGCTGCAGGGGAACATTATGAATATACACGAAACAGACTGACACACCTTCACTGCAGCGGAACATTATGAATATACATGAAAGCGAGCTACACACCTTCGCTGCAGGGGAACATTATGAATATACATGAAACCGAGCTACACACCTTCACTGCAGGGGAACATTATGAATATACATGAAACCAATCTACACACCTTCACTGCAGGGGAACATTATGAATATACATGAAACCGGGCTACACATCTTCACCGTAGGGCAACATTATGAATATACATGAAACCGAGCTACACACCTTCACTCTAGGGGAACATTATGAATATAGATGAAACCGAGCTACACACCTTCACTGCAGGGCAACATTATGAATAAACATGAAACCGATCTACACACCTTCACTGCAGGGGAATATTATGAATATACACGAAACCGAGCTACACACCTTCACTGCAGGGGAACATTATGAATATACATGAAACCGAGCTACACACCTTCACTGCAGGGGAACATTATGAATATACATGAAACCGGGCTACACACCTTCACTGCAGGGGAACATTATGAATATACATGAAACCGAGCTACACACCTTCACTGCAGGGGAACATTATGAATATACATGAAACCGAGCTACACGCCTTCACTGCTACTCACCTTCACTACAGCGAGACGTCAAAACGTCCAAATATAGACACGTGATCCTCGTAACCTGTGCAGGAGTCAACCAACAATTATATTTCAACGTAGGCCAGGACAGGATTTGAAACTTGTGGTGTCGACTTTTGTGACATGTTGGTACTTTACTCCTACTTTGTATACAATGGGCGATTACTGTGTAGAGTTGACTTGTGGTCTATCGGCTCGTATTGATAGTGGACAATGTTTGTATGTGATAGTTATTCCACGCCACGTGGCCGATTATGGGCAATGGACGTCAAGCGAAGCGAGAGATTGGCCCATAATCGATCAAGTGTCATGTCGTATCACGAACTTGAGCTACACGCAATCACATTTGATAACTGCAGTGAAACACCGCCCATTTATTGAACTGACGTGAGGGGGCAAAAAATACGCGAAAAAGTATTACCTATTTATGACGTCATTTTACCACTAAGAAATCGTACTGACAGGTCAGTTCACAATGTGGAATGTCAATAATGGATCCGCTGTTTCATTTGTCAGCAGATTAAATCCTTGGCCAGTTTCTACGTGGTATCGAAAAACTTGCTGAAAATGTTGAAACTGAGTTTAGTGAGTGGGTGAGTATGGTTTTACGCCGCTTTTAGCAACATTCAAGCAATATCACGACGGGGGGCACAAGAAATGGGCTTAACACATTGAACCGATGTCGGGAATCGAACGCGAGTGTTCGGCGTGTCGAACGAACGCTTTAACCACTGGGCTACCCGACCGACCCAAAACTTTAAAGTTGAAGAAAATGCTGAAATTGTCAAGAGCGATCAGACAAGGGACACACGGCGATTTGACAGTGCGCCATTGTCTGAGAGCTTGTTTAAAAGGACGTTGAATGACAGGATACCGAAACGTACTAAAATTTGCAATGTCAGGTGTGTCGCAACTAGGAGCGGGGAAAGTGTCGAAAGTTCAAGAGCCAGACCAATAAGGATTCAAATTGTCCCATTCCCGATTTGGAAACCGACAGTGTCGAACGACTTGATTATTGCTTGGCTCATTTTATTTACGAGTTGCGAAGGGCTGATGGCACCCCATACCCTGGAAACTCTCTCAACAATCCTACTGCTGGTTTACAAAGGTATATGGTTGACGTGGTAGGCCGGGAACACATTTCCTTACTCCGAAAGACATTCCGAAATGCCTTTGATAAACGAATCGTTTACAGCACATACTACATTGACCAGATAACCTACTTGTTAGACAGTGGAATAGAGATGGCTTGACCAAACATTGACATTTTGTTTTTTATTTTCGTCCCGTATATATTGAACTAATGAACCATTTGATCATGAAAAAACTTCATTTTGATGTTCCCAACTCGGCTTCTTACGAGAATAGTGAGTTTTCTCAATTTACATGTTTTTACTAAATTGTGCATATATTGTCAGAGATATCTGAATTTGCCACAAACATGGCAGGTTTCCAGAAAGTTGACTTTGTTATATCGCAGAGTGGAACGCCCCAGGTACACTTTCAGCCTCATATCTACAGCAAGAACAAGATTGGGTGGTTCTACCAAAAGTGGAAATATTGCCACAAGCTTTCATCACAAATTGAGTTCATAAACTTATTTGTTTTGGCATAATTATTGGAGCCTATGTTAATTCACGTTTATAAAAAAAAGTACTTGGCATCGAATTTGCACAATATTGGTTTTTCCGAAATGTGAAAAAACATAAGAACATACATCTTCACGAGGCAAGGGCGTCAACTGACTGTAAAAGTCTAGTTTCCACCCTTCCCGAACAAGGCTGGAATTTCCAGGCTCGATCATAGCGCCACCAGTGGCTATTACGAGTTATGGCCGAGCCTGGTTCGTATTTAACTCGTGTTATTCCAGAACAAGCCGAATAGCGAGTACATAATATATAGGATTGAATACATTTAACTATGTCTTGGGTATAGTTTTAGATGCAGGACATAAGTAAAATCAAGAGTTATTCCTGAGGGACTTTTTTACGAAGAACTTGAAGTCATACGCGCATTCTGATTGGTTTGTCGTATTTTCGCACATAACATTCATCGATAGGGGGACGAGTCTTCTTGCAGGTTACGGAAAGGGGCGAGTGGTGACGAATGCACTGACCTTTCTATGTAACTCTTATGTATACGATTTCGTGACAACAGTGAGCTGACACGAAATATTAACGCACATATCACTGTTGAAAATGAGGTATGTGTCATTGTTTACATTTCACCGATGTGACGACCACTTTCGAGTCTCGAAACAGCTTAAATAATGTTTTCCTTCACTAAAAGTAACAATGGACGTTATTCTCGTGACAAATACATTGCAAGAACATTCATGAAAATGCTGAGGAAAAAAATTAACCACCCGTTCTAGAGTTATTCTATACTAAATACATGGCGTGTCCGCCATGTTTGTTCGTCTAGTGGAGGCGGCCATTGTGCAGTCATTGCCTGGGTCACTGTAGCGCCAGTGCAGCATACCCAGGGAACCAGGTTGGTTATGGCCTTTCTATGTAACTCTTATTGACCAATCAGATTCCATCTCTCATATCACTTGCATTTGCTTCAAACAAAGTGGCGGCGCCCAGTCAAGACAATCTGATCGCTAATCAAGATCTATATTGTAATACAATGGGTCTTACCCCGCGAACTGCATCAACTCACTTGAGCACCTTGATTAAAAATATGAAAAGATTTTCAAATTATCTGTCGACGCCCATTTGTCTTTTCATATGCTTTGCAAGTCCTGTAGTCGACCGAAATCAGCACGTTGAAATCCATGTTGTTTATGAACCGGATGTCCAGTTCGTTACGCGATTTTGATTGGACTTTGCACAGACTCGTTAGTCCAGCCAAAATGTAAGTCCGAAATCCCATGGGTAGGTTTCTCGGCAGGATAAAGCCAACGGATAAAAACGATGTCCGTTTGGGTCATATGCGGATAGAGATGCAAATATCAAAGGTCAAGTAGGGACTACTTTCAGTGTTTATAAACAAACATGGCGCCGCCCTTGTCATTCGGCAATTGAGTCAGAATTAACCATCGGGATTCTCGATAAACTACACATATAATTGCTGTCATTATCAAAAGAACAGTCTAATATACTTAAAATCAGTGTCTGACTGTGACGTCGCTAAGGCATTATATAAGTTTTGTCAACTTTGGAGATATAAATTTCAAAACAATTTCGCGAGGGCACTTGGCCTAGCCAAGCGGGATCAGTAGCCATATCTGTGCTTGTAGACCGCTGCGGCTTGAAACCTTTTCAACAAATTAAAATAGTTGGATTTGGCCGAAATATGTTTGAATTGTTACCTTGTTTCGTTTTGTCGCTGTGTGTACATCTGATTGCACTTCTTAATGTTTTGACAGGACAGGCCGACTGTCAACAACGTCTGAATGTGGCCATGACGTCTCATAGACTTGGGTATGAGTAGCTTCCCTTTCCGCGAGCCTATGTATTAATACATTGCACCTTGTTGAATTATTAATGCGGCTTTTAAAGCACATGAAAGTATTTTCATTTATTTATTACAAGTGTCATATTCTCATGGGGTGTCTGAGAAATGGGGTATGATCGGGACCAATCCAATTTACCACTTGGGTAACAAGTATTGGACAGTGGGAGAACTCAACCGTGGCATTTGTAAGTTTAAGGTATCTGACAAATGTTTTTGTTATGAATGATTGTCATCATGATTGTGTTTCAATATTAAACGGAACAAAGGTTTTGCGTATTTCATCTGAACACATAGAATATAAACACATGAAATTTTTCACTGTGTACCTTCATGTATGTACATTCAACAAAACTATTGATCAAAATAGGTTTTAAAATGCAAACATGTTCATACGTCCAAGCCGTTGAGGTACAATGAACCGCTATCAAGACAAGTATCTTCTTTTAAAATGTGTTACAAACATTGCAAATAAGAGCAAAACTTACCCCAACCTTTCTTTGTTCCCTTGTTATACCTACCACCTCATGTACCCTTGTAGTTCCAACTACTGCTGATAAACATGTGTGAAACCGATGTCGATATGTTTGATTGATTTTAGTTGGAAGTTTCGAAGCAGCTGGCGAGATACTTAAGCCCTGTTGCACAAACGTGTCTCATGTTTACTGTTGCGTCTAAACACAATGTTATATTGACTGTCAAACATATGCATAGACGCATTCTGTTCATGAATAAAAGAATCAATCCAACGCACTGTTCTTATTACCAGATCGTTAAGGGCAAGGACTACACCTGTTGTCGCGTTATAAGCATCTTTGATTTAAATAGATGACAACCATGGACTGTACAACTTTGTGTGTGGTTGTCTGAACCCAATGCTGTTTATACACATGTCTACTATATATTACAATGGCGCCTTGGCTGTTCGTGACGTAACGTCGTAGCGAGAACACGAGGAGGTACTTAACCAGCCATCATACTCATTAAAACAAGACCCAAATCGTAACTGATTGTTTGGTTTATGATCGTGATCAAGTACGTAAATCGGAGCAAGATACCTAGGTTGTGTAGTGGACGTGTTTCCCCTTCAGGTGACACATAGTAATAGCCAACATACTCACTCACAGTATTTAGATGAAAATACAACTAGGTGAGGTAGTGACTTGGGGTTTCATATCGCGTTCAAACTTACTATATATACATCCTATATGACGTGTGTGTCAAGCTGCTTGTACTAGTTCGTACTTATACCAGGTTTTTATTATCTAGTCCAGTGAGATACCATGCCGCAGTTTAACATGTGTACCCCACTCAAAAACATTACACACTGACTCCAAGCCGACCAGTCAATGTTTCATCCCATTAATGTTTAATAAAGCTTAATATCCACCCAACACTTACATCACTTGTTAACAACTACGGCGTTTCTATCCTGCTAGGCAATGACGTTTCTTCAATGCTAGTCAACGGCATCTCTCCACCGCTAGTCAGTAGCATCTGTTCTCTGCTAGTTAACGTCTCTTCACTGCTAAGTAACGTTGTCTCTTCACTGCTAGTCAACGTCGTCTCTTCACTGATAGTTAACGTCGTCTCTTCACTGATAGTTAACGTCGTCTCTTCACTGCTAGCTAACGCTGTCTCTTCACTGCTAGTTGACAGCGTCGCTTCACTGCTACTCATCGTCGTCTCTTCACTGCTAGTCAACGTCGTCTCTTCACTGATAGTTAACGTCGTCTCTTCACTGCTAGCTAACGTCGTCTCTTCACTGCTAGCTAACGCTGTCTCTTCACTGCTAGTTGACAGCGTCGCTTCACTGCTACTCATCGTCGTCTCTTCACTGCTAGTTAACGTTGTCTCTTCACTGCTAGTTAACGTCGTCTCTTCACTGCTAACTAACGCTGTCTCTTCACTGCTAGTTGACAGTGTCGCTTCACTGCTACTCATCGTCGTCTCTTCACTGCTAGTTAACGTTGTCTCTTCACTGCTAGTTAACGTCGTCTCTTCACTGTATGTCAACAGCGTCTCTTCACATCTAGTTAACGTTGTCTCATCACTTCTAGTCAACAGCGTCTCTCCGCTGCTAATCATCGCCGTCTCTTCACTCCTAGTCTACGTCGTCTCGTCACTGCTAATCAACGCCATCTCTTCACTGATAGTTAACGGCGTCTCTCTTCTGATAGTTAACGTCGTCCCTTCACTGCTAGTCTACGTCGTCTCTCAAGTGCTAATCAACGTCATCTCTTCACTGATAGTTATCGGCGTGTCTTCACTGCTAGTCAACGTCGTCCCTTCACTGTTTATCAACTACGTCTCTTCACTGCTAGTCAACGGCGTCTCTCCGCTAATCATCAACTGGTCTATCTACATCTCCACCGGTGGCTTTAACTGACAACCAACTGGTCTATCTACATCACCACCGGTTGTTTTAACTGACAACCAACTGGTCTATCTACATCTCCACCGGTGGCTTTAACTGACAACCAACTGGTCTATCTACATCACCACCGGTGGCTTTAACTGACAACCAACTGGTCTATCTACATCTCCACCGGTGGCTTTAACTGACAACCAACTGGCCTATCTACATCACCACCGGTGGCTTTAACTGACAACCAACTGGCCTATCTACATTTCCACCGGTGGCTTTAACTGACAACCAACTGGTCTATCTACATCTCCACCAGTGGCTTTAACTGACAACCAACTGGTCTATCTACATCACCACCGGTTGTTTTAACTGACAACCAACTGGTCTATCTACATCTCCACCAGTGGCTTTATCTGACAACCAACTGGTCTATCTACATCTCCACCGGTTGTTTTAACTGACAACCAACTGGTCTATCTACATCTCCACCGGTGGCTTTAACTGACAACCAACTGGTCTATCTACATCTCCACCAGTGGCTTTAACTGACAACCAACTGGTCTATCTACATCTCCACCGGTTGTTTTAACTGACAACCAACTGGTCTATCTACATCTCCACCGGTGGCTTTAACTGACAACCAACTGGTCTATCTACATCTCCACCGGTGGCTTTAACTGACAACCAACTGGTCTATCTACATCTCCACCGGTGGCCTTAACTGACAACCAACTGGTCTATCTACATCTCCACCGGTTGTTTTAACTGACAACCAACTGGCCTATCTACATCTCCACCGGTGGCCTTAACTGACAACCAACTGGTCTATCTACATCTCCACCGGTGGCTTTAACTGACAACCAACTGGTCTATCTACATCTCCACCGGTGGCTTTAACTGACAACCAACTGGTCTATCTGCATTTCCACCGGTGGCTTTAACTGACAACCAACTGGTCTATCTACATCTCCATGATACAACAATTAGCATTCCGATTCATGCAAGACCGCTATATGTGTGTGCTGCTAAGTTGATGGGTGAGAGTGTGGAAGGGAGATTAGACTATACCGACAATGTTTGGTGTGTGTGTGTGTGTGTGTGTGTGTGTGTGTGTGTGTGTGTGTGTGTGTGTGTGTGTGTGTGTGTGTGTGTGTGTGTGTGTGTGTGTGTGTGTGTGTGTGTGTGTGTGTGTGTGTGTGTGTGTGTGTGTGTGTGTGTGTGTGTGTGTGTGTGTGTGTGTGTGTGTGTGTTTTCGCGAACACCTGGTTTCACTATTTGATAGTGATTCATAAACACAAACAAAACACGTACTATCGACTTTGCTTTTTGGGAGAGATTTCTTATGATTATGGGAAGGGTTTTAAATTTAACACTTTTATTTAATGGTTATAATTGTTGTTAGAAAAGGGAGAGTTCATGTCTTTGGGTGTGTGATTTATACAATAGCTGATCTTTAGCAACTTCAGTGACACGTGACTGCACATATCGACCTGCATATAACAGTTGCCTGATCTTATACAGCACATTGGCTGTCTTATTGTTTACTATGATGTTTAGGGAGAATTATTCAACGCACACACAATTATCATAAACTTTAGTAAACACACACACAAACACACACACGCGCAAACACACACACACAAACACACAAACACGCACACGCACGCACACGCACACGCACACACACACAAATTACAAATTAGTAGTATTGGCATGTTAAACAATATAAACAAAACAAAACAATACAATGTAATACAATACAGTACAGTACAATCAAGTTACTAATTCATCCAATAAGCATACATTTGTCGGAAACATTGATATACATACAATTAATTTTCGGGAGACATCTGAACATCATGATAAACACGGTAAAAGTTAACAATAAAATATCATAAATGTTACCTTAAAAGGAATGACGAAACCCCCAGTACTAAATGTATTAAAGTAGAGGACTGTGTGTGTGGCTGGCTGACAGGTATGGGTACAAGTGGGACCGTACGTGTACATGTCTCGAACCAGGAAACACAGATTCATATTCTGATTGTTTCCTTGTACGTGGCGGGGATGTCCAGTCGTCAGGATCTCCAGTCCAGCGACGGTAAGACATTGGTCATAGTTGATAACGCGGAAGAGACTCGTATGAGGTATGTTCACAGTCGCCTCCAAAATAGAGCACACGCTGAAGATCACTGCACGAAAAGAGATACTTAGTGTTGTTTTTTTTGGGTTTTTTTGGGGGGGTGGTCTGTGTCTTTGTATGTGTATATGTCTGTGTCTGTACACACATTGAACGCATGTGTGTGTATGGGGGGGGGGGGGGGGGGGGGGGGGGGGGGGGGCTGTGGGGGGGGGGGGGGGTGGTCTGTGTCTTTGTATGTGTATATGTCTGTGTCTGTACACGTATTGAACGCGTGTGTGTGTATGGGGGTGGGGGTGGGGGTGGGGGTGGTGGTCTGTGTGTTTGTACGTGGGTTGTGTGTGTGTTTGTACATATGATGCGTGTGTGTCTCTATGTGTGTATGTGTGTCTGCATTTCTGTGTACATGTTATGTCTCTGTCGCCTGTCTGTTTGCATATATACATGAACGTCATATTATAACGCGTCATATCAAAAGACGTTAAAATATGGTACTTCTTGTTATCTTGCCTGGCGCCCAGGATTTAAGGGCTAAAACAAGAACTGGCCGAATGGAACGGAATCTTAGTGGGCTACCCTATATAAAATCGGCATCAGCCCGGACTAGCACACACACACACACACACACACACACACACACACACACACACACACACACACACACACACACACACACACACACACACACACACACACACACACACACACACACACACACACACGTCGCTAAATACTGTTCAAACCACCGTGAAGCCAAACGAACACACCTTTTGTATACTCGCGTGGTTAAAATTCATTCTGCAAATTTGATAAAACACCTGGATATCATTGAGATGTGTAAAGAGTATTAGGTGCTGATAACAGTTGTTAGCGATAACATCCACTGGAGTGAACAGAAGGGTTCTTGAAACACGTGCATGAACGTTCCTAAATAGCCCATTTTAGCCCAATTACTCTCGACAGAATGGTCTAGGTTGGATAAGAAACCCTTTATGGCCCACGGGAAATGTCTAATTATAACGTTACCCAAAGCATGTTTAAGAGTTTAAACCATAAGTATGTCTGAAATAAGTAAAAGAGTATCATTTCAATTTTAAGAGGAAATATCTAATTATGAGCAAGGATGTGACTCAAGATGATGTGACACCATATGTGTGTATACTTTATATGAATATCAGCCTGGATCAAATATTTAAATATTAGTAAAATGCTTCATGAAAGCCCCCCAAAGCAATCTTTCCGACACGTTTTCGCCTTTCCTTAGTCCCTTTACTAATTCGAATACTTAATACTTAACACACACACGGACAGACAGACACAGACACACACAACACGGACAGACAGACACACACACGCACACACCTATTTTAGAATATGGAATCAATCCTACACGAAGCTTGTTAAGCAAGGAGCGGCATTACCACAGTGTGTGTGTTAATTAGAACACAGTCCTCACACCACCTCGGACCAGCCCCCCCCCCCCCCCCCCCCCCCCCCCCCCCCACTGCTGTAACGTGATGAGCAACGCAACCCCTCAACCTCAAAGGTTCTTTTTAAACTGTTATTGAACATGAAATACATGTTTTATTGAATTGTACTGTTTATAATGATGAGCGTCAACCTATTTTAACACAGTGCTGTGAAATGTAACCTGGTTTTAATACTCTTAGCGAAGTTGAAAAAGTGTCTTTTGTTTTATCAAATATGTTATGTGTTATCTTAGTGCCAAAACCTGCCATGCAATTTTACAAAAACATTGATCGGTTATTTATAACAAAGTGTGATATTTCTTTACTATTTATATACATGTTTGCTGTACATAATCTTAAACGTTTAATTAAGTATGAATTTTATGTTGTTTATATATGTTTGTAAATTTTATACTGTATTACTGTGGTGAGACTCAAATAAACAATTGTCTGTATGCCTGTCCCCAACCAGTGATTCGCCACTGCCTATGTGTGAAGTTATAGAAGGTGGGATTGGATGCTGATGGCTATTTCCAACATCGCTGTTCCAGGTCTCACATCACCTCGGTGATCACAAACACCCTGGACCCAATCGACCTCATAGCATCTTTAAATCTCATTAAAATTTCATGATCACGTTGAGGAGAAGTTATGTAACTTATTGATAAGAGAGATGATGTTCGGTGTTTATGTTACAATTATAGAATTGATATACAATGGATTATCGATGGACCATTCCGGACCACGTTCAGCATACTTAACAAAGGTTCTAAGTGTGTCAGGATCAATAACTCGATAACAACGACAGCTGTATTGAGGCTTATGAGTACTCGAAATCAAAATAGAGTGTTTTCGTTTCATTAATCATATATATACACACCTGTAAACCGGAATTCTATACTGTATATGTATGCACTTTAACATAAATGGTACCACGAGACTACGACACTTCAGAAAAAGCAATGTCTTTTTCCAACCATCATCTGTATGTCATTTTTAAATCTTTTAAGCTGTCATCCATACAAATATACTGTTTCTGGAGAGCCAATATATATCAGTTGCATCAACCAGCTGGTGACGAACCTCCAGTGTCAACGTCGAAGGCAGTTCA